ATACGAGTACGAATAGTAGCGACAACATGAGTAGAAAGGAGTTTAAAAAGCCCTGTATTACCATATAAGGAAGGAATAACAGAAACTTTACTTAAGATTCTAAACAAGGCTGGGTTTAGGGTAGCATTTAAACCTACAAACTAACTCAGGGATAAGCTTTAACGATGGATCCAAAATAATCTAATCTATCAAATTCCATGCAATGACTGTGAGGTCAAGTACATAGGTAAGACTAGCCTATCAGGGACAGTTAGATTAGCGGAACATAGGAATTTAACCAAGTATAGAGTGACAGACCCCAGTGGGGTCAATAACTTAGAAAGAAACAGCTATTGCAATCCATGCGTTGACCCACGACTACAACGATAGGGTGGGATAAAACCACTGTACTTAAGTCCAATATAATTAGATGAAGAGAGAGACTGACTACTGAATCTTTGTTCATCGAATCAACACCCAACACATGTAGCAGGAATAGCATAACACCTATACCAGAGGTATGCAAAAATTTACTACCATTAAAAACAAAGAATATCACGTGACAGGACTATACAAGTCAGCTGTTGGAAGTATTGTGATTACATTGATATGATTGTGACCAATAATTTATTACCGAAACATCATCAGGTAAATAATACTGTATCACTGTCTGTAATAAATCAGAAATAAACAAATCTAATGTGGAATCACATTCTACGACAGTGTCCGAGTTTTACAATTACATGAATGGAAGAGTTATTGAAGGGTGATATGTGATTATCTAGCATATGAACAGACTAAAAGAACAAGTGTTAAACGGTGCTAGTGAAATTTGATTGTCAGGTGATGAAAATCTTGACTTTAGTATTGACTAAAGCACACAGACCTGGAAAGGTGGTATCGGTTCCAAAGTATGATACACCGCAGTGCATGTAGTAGGGGTAAGTGTGTACATACCTACGACTGTGATTACCAAGACGGAATCAAACCGATAACCCTTAAGCCAGATAATCCTACAGTTAAGCAAACAAACTGGAATATCTAATGGGTAATTTCGCCTAGTGTGACAAGTAACAATAAGTATTAGAATCAAATCACAGAAAACATATTCTTTGCAATCATAGTTACTCCTTGTCGACATAAAATCCACCAGCAGAACGTCCTATTATCGACCTATAAATCACTATTGTAATTCTCAGTAAATAACTCATCACTATACCAATAGTTAATCGAATTCGCTAAGAAATAAAGAAAGGAAGGCAAATAGATTCAGAAAATATCGTCCGACCACTTTCTGGTCAATAACAACAGCCGAAAAACTGACTAGACATGAATTAACAAAAGCGATTAACTGATTATATAAATAAACGGAATAAAAAACAGCTGCATAGCCCTTAAAAACTAAATTATACCAATTCAATTTGGGGGGGGGTGATTTGTGGTGATTTATTGATCTTAAGTTGGGATCCATCACAGCTATCCAGTGGTCCCAGGTTTCCAATGTCTCTCCAACTGATCTCAATCCATGATGAATACCAACTTAAATTATATTAGCATCTGAATAATCGCTTATTATAAGCATACATGTTTTCGTGAATACCGAAGTGTAACATGAAGAAACTATTAATCAATAGACTTAAAGGAAGCAATTTATTATCAACGTTCACATTTCAATTGTCAAGCTTTTAAGAAAGGAAGAAATTATAAGTAAAGTTTTTGAAAACGTGTATTCAATTATTGTTAGACAAAACTTTAAAAGGTAATGTGAACATAATGAGAAACGTTTTGTGAAGAAGAGTTGATTAGTAGTATTTATACTAGGTGATGTTTGAAGGTAAAATGAAAATTTGGACCGCGGCCGGATTCGAACCAGCGACCACCGAGTTTCCGCTTAGATGCTCTATAAACTGAGCTATGAGGTAGTATTTCACATTGGACAGGGCAAATAATTATTTGATAGAATGAAAAATTCAAAGCTGCTGTTTTCAAAGACCACTACAACATCTATGAGTTCCTTCTCCGAAGAAACACAAGTAACAATTATCAGTCAAATGTATATATTCTTACTACAACAGATCAATCATATTCATAAACATGGTTACAGCTTATATGGCGCGTAATGGAGTATAGTATGAAAAAGTTGGTCAGTGGCTTATTCGATTACACATTAGATTTTAAATGTGTGTCAGGGTTTAAACACACAGTGGTACCAAAATGGATTTGGTTGACTGCTTGCCTAGTATATGAACCTGTATATATGGTTGACGAACTGCACAGGAGGAATTGAGAATCTCACATCCCACACCTACAGAGTATCAAATACTATTAAATAGAAGTAATCCATTTTATCGTCAAAGTATATGAAGAGGAAACCTACGCGTCAATAGAAACACTCTAACTGATTGCAATGGATCGATCAGAGTGGAATAATCAGTCTGACTGTCCATATTTTCCACCCTAAATAAGCAATAATTAGTGCTCGAAACGTCATCAAGTAAATAGTACTGTATCACTGTCTGTTATAAATCAAAAATAAACAAGTCTAATATCTAATTATATTCTATCACAGTGCCTAGTGGCAGTGGAATCTAGGATGCACGTTTCGTCAGCTGGGTGTGACTACACGCCAGTGAGAGTCTTCCCACTGAGATTAGAACCTCGTACCCATTACTTAAAACACCAGAGTGTTCCACAAGAGGTCACTCTCACACATCAGTGACCTGATAAGCAACCCCTTTGGCGTGTGAAGTGATGGGCACTGCGTTTGAGTCTCAGCAGTGACCCTCACAACTCATTGGGTGCAAGTACACCCACTTAACGAGTACCAATTAGGATGAAACGCGCATCCTGGATCTCACTGCTAGCCAACACCAAGTGAAGTATAATACAATGAATACTCAGGCAATTTTGAAGCATTCGTGTAGGAGCTCATATGCTAACAGATATCGATCAGTTAGATCCAGTACAACAACGAGAAATAACACGTACCAATAAGTTATAACTGTTTTCAGTATTTAACGGAAACTGTAGAAATCTCAAAAGAAAATCTGATCTATGCACTGAGCAGTAGTAATCACAACCACTTCGCTCATCTTGATTTACGGTGAATCAGGTGACACTTATCCGTGATACAAAAAATTCGCCAAGTAACACTTTACTCTCACTTTCTTTTGCGCCCTTCCTTTCTCTTAGCAAAATGTATTGCGAAATAGAGTCTCACCTCATATTCTATTGACAAAATGTTTTTCACCGTTAGTTTTAATACTATGAATTGTTTCTTATTCTTGATTAACGTTTCTTCCATCGTATTAGAGTAGTCATATGATTTTCATTTCACTGACTACCACTTATTTCCAAAAGTATATGTGAGTAAACTGTTCATCCCCATATCCCAGTTGCTTATGCACTTTGTTTCATTAAAGGTAGCATGACTTTGGGTCCATTTCTAAATATTTCGTAAGTTTAGTTGGATGGATGTATAAAAATGAGTGCTTTAACTTCAAAAGATTGCACGATTTGTCTTGAGTATTGCAAATCGTCTGGTTCTGTAGAGCTAGAAATATTGGCCATTCAACACGAGTTCTGTCCGAAAGGATTTAAAAATATTATTGTGCATGACTTTAAATGGGTGTGATAATCGAACATTTGGTTGATAATGACCATTCAATCTCGATAACTTCGTGTTTTTTAAGTTGTCAACAGTATGAAAAGGAACTTGTTTAAGGTCGTTATTTGTTCGCCCCCATTGAATTGCCAAAGCTTTAGCCATTCCCATAGAAAAGTTCGGGCTTTGCATATAATCTCGTCTGCTTTCATAGTCTTTATAATTGACATTTCAGACCACCCATTCATTTCCTTAATCCATCCTGTTTACTCCTTACGTAGTATCCACTCTTGCTTTTGATAACAATCCATTCGTCAAGTATTTTATCATAGTTACAGAATTCATTTTCAGAAAATCGACCATTTTATCCAACTTTCATTAAACTATGGTCTTGATGAGAACCATATCACTCACTGGGATATAGGTGCATCCAACTGGCCAGTCTCAAATAGGAAGAAACGCGGCTTCTAGATTTTACTGCTAGCCACTATCTATCATAAATATGTGGTGAATACCCACTACGTTGAACAATTTTCACTATTCTTTACTGACAATAACTTATCCTGCTTGTTACCGTATCCCCTAAGCTAAACAAAATTTACTGTAAAGCACTGAATACTTTTATTCAAGAAAATTGTACGTAAACGTGATGGCATAGCTTTGAGAATAATACCACCCATGTGTTTGTAAAAGCGCTGGCATGGATGAAAATATTGAATTTCACTAACTCTTTTTCAGAATATCGTGAAGTAATTCCTTAGAAGTAAAAGTGAATAGTTTGTAAGGATCTTTAGGAATATGAACAAGAGAGAATGTAGTTCAGTTTCCTTAATTAGCATTAATCGATTAAACTTCAGAAAGGTTTTGCAAACAAACAAATATAAGCTACCAACAAATTTTGAGAACTCTCCAGTAACTACAGAAATGGGTATCTTCTTCTGTGTAGCTACCTAAACTGAAGCAGGTAAAATGTGGTTTGGATTCGCAGCCAATTCAAACCGGATACTTACGCAAAAGAGCCATAGTTCCCAGCAATATGTAATAAAAATTCATCACAAAGCAAATCGGTGTTGCTTATCTGTCAGAAAATAATGCGTGACCTTAATACTAATTGTTAGAGATCCGTATTAAGATTGGTTGAGATTACTTCTTCTATGAAGAACAAGATGAGACACTTCAACTATGTTTTGAGTAAAAACATGGAATCATAAAACTTCAGAAGGAGGGTTGGATTCGAGACAGAAGACTGTAATACAAAAAGCCAAAGACAATGTGAAGTTATGGACTACTGTCTTCACCAATATCACCAATTTATAACATTTTATTCATAATTTTCCCAAATAGATATGTAGCGAAAAGAGAAACATATTGCTTGAAAATATATACTACTAAACCACGTTTAAGTAGTTCGTCTTACCCATCTGGGGTCTCTTGTTTCTGTAGCCAAGACACGCTTTTGCATTATCTTCATAAAAGGTCGTTGTGGACTGCTAAATATTGTTGATTTCATATTTTTCTTCGGGATATCCGGGTGAGAACGTGTGCATGACTGAAAAATAGGAAAAATAAAAAGTATGGGATCGAACTTAATACTTCTTGAAAAATGGAAGATGAATAAGTGTACGAGATAAAAGCTATTTCTCAACAATGAATTAGTCGTGTCTTGAGGATTCTTCAAAGAAGAACAGATGAAAGATACAAATGACCTTAGCCTAAGTAATCCATGGGATAATGCATATCAAAAGAGTGAAATTTAATTTGAAACCTGAGGTAGAATCTAGGAACAGCAGTTTTCAGAATGAAACTTAAATAAAGAAATAACTATAAATTCTCAGGCTGTTCCCATCGTATGTCTTGGTGAAGCCAATAAAATCCCGATTCTCCTCGCGGTGTTTCATGATAAGGAAGTAATAGCGAATGGTAACTTAACCATATATCCACTGACAGAGATTGACTGACTACCGACTGACTGGTGTCTCATAGTGAATAGTTATATTGGTACCATCGTTTGAAAACGTGTGATTGTTTATTTAACTTATTGCACACAAAAATGGTCAGTCAAGTGGTTATTCATCCAATTCTCTGATACTCATTCAGTCGGGCAGTGGGTAACATCATTTGATGACAGTGAGCCAATAGGTATCAGAGTAACGATAGAGAAATGATCAACTTGACCAACACTATCTGGCGTCTTATCAACTAGACAGTGATTTTATCCAAAAAGTTTCATGAGCAAAAACGTTTTCTATTAAAAGATGCAGCGGAAAAGAATGGACGAAACTAAAGTAGTTGGATAGGAATTCATAATATTTTTAAACTTTTGTGGGAGTTTGTTCAAAAGCCTGAGGATTATTAAATACTGAATTCGCAAGAAAATAGTCCAACTGAAAGAAAATAAGCACATATGCTACTTAACTACGATATTTATGATTTTTGACCATCAAACAAGTCTATTGTACAGCAGCAAATTCAACAATCAGGCTATTTAAATCAAATTATGCAGAATAAGCGTCATTCCAGTTTCCAATAACCAAACGTGGCTATCGTCAGTGAATAGCCTAATAGACAACCCACTAGCGTTCGAAGTGGAGAATCCCAGTTTACAGTCCTGACGAGACATCCTGCCGATCACCTGGAACCAACTAAAATATCAAAGTACCTTCTACTTTGGTGGTCAAATAACAAGGTAAAATAAAGCCAGGACTCTGGACTAAACAATATCAAACTGGTTGCTGCTCTGTGACCAGGGATAAAATTTATGTACAATATCATACAATCATTCTATTCATAGGAAGGCAGAATCAATGCAATTGATACTTCAGATTCCTAACATGATTGTCAACCTACACATATTAAGGATACAAATAAGAAATACCATATCACGTGAACATGGAGTCAGTAATATATCTAATACCATCGCCTAAATAACCAGTATATTAGCAACCAGTCAGTCCTAAACCCGGATAAAGATGGAGGGTTGGGCATACGGCTAACAACCCTACACCGGAAAACCAATCTAACCGCTAAACAAACTTCAAAGCACAAACAACATCTAAAACATAATACTAAACTTATTCCTCGCTGGAATCGGAGACGCGAAATGACGCCAGTTGGTGAAAACCGTCGGGAAGTCAATTGGCCGATGTGTCTTCTCTTCGTCGATGAAAGCGAAAGTAAACATGGGGACATGAAATGTCCGCACCATGTATGAAACCAGCTGGCAAGGCTGCCCAGATTGCATGAGAGATGAGAAGGTATAGCATAGAAGTGCTGGGCTAGGAATCTGCAAGGAGTCAGCAGACTGAATGGAAGTGGACTCTCGAAACTGTCAACTGGGGAGGAGTCAATAATCTACTCCGATATTGTTACCCAGACGACAACCACGAGCACACTGAGTTATGGAGTAACTATCATGATGTCCCCTTGAAGAGCATCGAAGGCTCTCATACAGTGGGAACCAATCTCCTCCTGCACGACCATAACAGCAAGATGGATTCAACTCAAAAGGAAGGAAGGAAGGTTACAATCATACAATACCACACTACGCACCTACAAATAAGGTAGATGAAGAGAAGAAGGAGGAATTCTACAGACAACTGCAATCAACACTAAACGAGACCTCAACTAGTGATATCAAAATTCTAATGGGTGGGGTGACATGAATGCCAAACTTTGAGGGGACAACACAGGAAGAGAACCAATCATAGGTCGAGAAGCACTCGGTGAAATGAACGAGAATGGAGAATTGTTTGCAGAATTCTGTGCATTCAACGATTCGGTGATTGGAGGCTAGGCACTGTTTTCAAGCATAAGGATATCCACAAAGTGACATGGATCTGATTTCGCCAGACACCAGGACATACTGCACTAAAAATCAGATCGACTTCATCTCAATGTGAAGAAAGTGGAGACGCAGCCAGCCTACTGGACACGGAATCAGATCAAGAAGGGGAGCAGATGTAGGTGGTTCACACCACTCACCATCTAGTACAAAGAAACCTGCCTTCAAAATCAAGGTGAAAGCCTTCAAAGAAGTTGGTGATAGACCACAGTTCAAGTTCAGCAGCCAGAACAGAACAGGAACTGCAGGACAAAACTACAAATGACATCTTCACGTCAGTCAGCTATCAGGACAAAATGGGAGACATTGAACAACATCCCTGAAGAAAACTGTGTGGAATAACACTAGAACTCTTTGGAAGAGATGTAGGAAGAAACCTGCATAACCGTGTTAGGAGGTAGGAAGAAGAGGCAAGACAAGGAATGAATCTCCACGGACACATGGAAGCAGATAGAGGAGAGAGAGGAAGATGGTGATGGTGAAGCAGAAGATGAACCGGTGCAGGGATGAACAACGAAAAGAGGGACTGAGCACAATCTATAAAACACTACACTGGACAAAGAAGTGAAGAAGAGTGCGCGCAAAAACAAAAGACACTTCTACGACACATTGGTAAGTGAAGCAGAACAGGCTGCTGGTGTAGGAGAGACCAGACGATATTGCATAATATAACCAGGTTACTATCTGGGAAGAGGTCAACTCAGCTGAAACCAGTGAGAGGTAGTGAAGGGAAGCTAGATAGCAAGGAGGAGAAACAAAGGGAACGATGGGCTGACCACTTAAAAAACTCTTGAGTCGACCACCACCTGCAGCTACAGAATTACCAGTGAACACAAGCCCTCTGACAAAAGCAGAAGTGAAGGCCTGAACCCCATAAGGTTACTGAAAGCCGGGAAAGCAGCAGGACCAGATGGAATTCCTCCAGAGGCACTGAAAATAGACGCAGAGGTAACAGTAGATATGCTCACACCAATACTGCAGGAGGTTTCCAAGGCAGGAAGAAAACATACCTGCCGATTGGAAGAAGGGGGACCTAAGTCTCTACAAGAACAGACGTGGAATCATACTCCTACCCACCTCAAGCAAGCAAAATATTATGCTGCATCATACTGGAGAGATTAGAAGGTGCTCTGGATTCAAAATTACGACGGGAACAGGCTGGCTAGCTTCGGGAAGAACAAATCATATGAGAATCAAATCGCAACGCAAGCCTACGCTACGCTATGCATCATTATAGAACAGAGTACAGAATAGTAGTCAACTCTCTACCTCAACATCATCGATTTTAAAAAGGCCTTCGACAGCGTCGACCGAGAAGTAATTTGGCAGGCAGTTGCTTCAACACTACGGTTTCAGTGCCAAAAACCTTTATCAACCACATTTAACAGCTATATCCTACATGACGACGCCATATGCCAAGTGATTCACAATGGAAAGCTCAGTGACGCCTCTGAAGTGAAGACAGGGGACAGGAGTAAGACAAGGCTGGTGCCTATTATTACCGATCATCTTCCTGATTGTGGTCGACTGGATGATGCAGCAAACTGTGAGGAGAGGGGAGATGGACATACGCTGGCTGGACTGATGAAGTTAACTCTAGAATATTTGGATTTCGGTGATGGTGATTTACGTCTAATGTCTTGTGGTACAAACTCGAAGATCTACAGGCGAAAACTAACAATTTGACAGAAGAGGCGAGGCAGCGAATGAAGATGGGACTTCAAGTGAACGTAGAGAAGACAGAGGTGATGAAGATACCTAACCAACAACAACAACAAGTACCGATTACCATGAAAAGGAAAAAGCCTAAAGGAAGTAGTCTCTTTCACCTACCTGTTTAGGCAGCATCGTTTCTACTACAGGCGGCATCACAGGCACAAATGAGGATGTTAAAGCCAGCCAGGATTGGAAAGCCAGCAAGACAGACCTTCCTGCATTAATGTGAAACCAGTGTGCAGATCTACTGCACTGCACTGCACTGCACTCAGCATAAAGAGTGAACAATATCCGGATTTTCAACACTAATGTCAGTCCAGTCAGTGCTTCTATGTGGTTGGGATGGTTGAGAGACTTGGCGTGTTATGAAAAGCACTTCCAAGGAACTACAGACATTCATCAACAGTTGCCACCTACACATGATACTGAAGATCAGATGGCCAGGAAGAATAAGTGACCAGGAACTGTGGCTGGCTGGGAACGAACCAACCAAGAACCCATCACTCAATGAATATGCGGAAGGAAGTGAAGATGGATTTGACTGGGCATACACTGAGAAGTTGATTTGGGGACATCACGTGCCAGGCGCTGTAGTGGAACCTGAAGGGGAAACGACGATTTGGGCGTCTGAGATGGGGGTGGCATGGAGGAGATCATGTGAGGAAGAAATCAAAGCTTGTGGGCAGTTGTGGAGCGAGGTTCGAAAGATTGCAGAGAATAGAGTGTAATGGAGGTGTGCTACTGGAACTCTTTGTTCCACTAGGAACCCAAGGGACAAATAGTGAATAAACCTGCTGGTTAGAGGGACATCATACTATTCAATCAGCACAGTAGACTTTTGATGATATTACTTACTACCAAACAGACTGAAAGTGGCTTCATGGAGATTAGATATGGACTGTTCATACAGATGTTTGACTATTGTTCATGTCAAGAAGAAAACGGGTACTAGCTCGGATCGTTCTACCATTCGAAGGCAGTGTCACAAATTA